AGACTAGCTCAGCTTCAAAGCCTTCCTGCTAAGACATTTCTCTCAGGTGAGCCACGTGTAGGTGTCCATAAGGAGGTCTGTCTGTATTTCTCTCAGGTGAGCCACGTGTAGGTGTCTGTCTGTCAAATAGGGCAGACAGTGGAGAATTATGGGATTTGTAGTCCAAGAAATCTGAAAATCCCATCCCTACCAAACATTAGTCTACTTTACTTTTCCAACCTGGGCAACTCTACAGGCTTAGAAATTGTAGCCCTAAGCCCTTCAGGAAACCAGGTGTAGGGATGACTGGCTTAGAGATATGTGAAATGGTACCCAATGAGAAGGATGTTTACCTCTAGTGCGACACAGAAATAGTGTAGGTTAGTGGTGCACATCCTTGGGTCCCCAAATGTTACTGGACTGTGATTCCCAGAAATCCTGGACAGCAAAAGAACCTTGGGTCCCCAAATGTTATTGGACTGTGATTCTCAGAAATCCTGGACGGCAGGAAGTTAGTGATGAAGGCTTCTGAGAGTTGTAGTCCACTATGGCAATGGAACCAATGGCCTCAGAAGGTGGTGAGTGTTCCAACACTGGGGGTAGTGGTGAGTGTTCCAACACTGGAGGTATTCGAGAGAAATGTGGACAACCCCCTGGCAGATATCCTTTGATCTGTACTCCTACACTGAGCAGGGGGTTGGACACAATGGCCTTATAGGCCCCTTCCAACTGCATGATTCTATGATTCTGTAATATCTGGGGACCCAGTGTTGGGAACCACTGATCTAGGTGGAACATAAGGTATGAAAGGTTGTTTTTATTTATATCATGGTACGATCTAGGTTCTTGAACAGAATGAAAGGTAGGAAAAGTTGAGAAATACTGGTCAACAATTTATTGCTCTTAGATATCATCCAAAATCTGCTGTCTAGGCCAGTCACCTTACTATGCTCAGTGGTAGGTGAAGCTCATTGCCTAATGGTAGTCAAGCCCAGTATTTAACTTCAGCTCTGGATTTGGAGAGAGAGAGAGAGAGAGAGAGAGAGAGAGTTTATCCTGAAATATTCATGAGTGAGCAAGGCTGTGGATTTTGAACATTCATTCAGCTGCACTGGGCAATATCAAGGTCATACGTCATGGTGACTGCACCGTACAAACTCATATTGGCATTACTGTATACAATAGGAGTCATAAGAATTGATCTACAACTGCGCAAAAATTATAAGTGTTGTCTTGTCTGCGTTCATGAAAATCGTTGTCTCTGATCTCAGTCCCGTAGATCACCATTCATGGCATAAATGTCTCATAGTCCCCCATCAGATGTTACAATTGAACCAGTGCACAATGCTGACTGAGGTATTCTGCAGGCTCTAATTCCAAAAAGTAACTTCCCTGTCTCTAAAGAGAGCCAACATTTTTCAGTTTCTTTTTGCAGAACATTTCTGAGACCTTGGAGGCAGTGGCCTGGCTTCCCCGGTCCATCTCCTCCAGATGCTGCCTCTGAGTAGACACCCACCAGAGGAGGTGGAGCTTTGAAGTGGCGAACACCTGTTCGGCCAATAAGTGAATCTTCATAAACTATCAAATCAGTGGTTCATGCCCATCTCTAATTGCTTCCAGACCAGTTGTAGAGGCCTCGTATGCAAACCTGTGAAGCCAGCTGTGTGAAAGCTGGAAGGTTCCCCCCCCCTTTTAGGATCTGTCATTTCTCCAGATTTCATCAACATCAGTGCAAAAACACTATAGCCGTGTTAGCTTTCCAACGCAAGCTGAAGCCTTAGCTTTGCAAATCATATCAGGTCAAGAGTACAAATTGCTCCAGACTAAATCAGGATGCATTCTGAAGTCTTGAACTGGCTTTCAAACTGGGTTGGATCAAGGCTCCAACACAGAATTTCAAAAATACGTCTATTTAAAATAATTCCAGATTGGGTAACTGTAGGAATGCTGTCTTTCCAACAATTGTTTCTTTGCTTTGCTGATTTAAGTTACTTGGGCTTAGCCATAGTCCATGACTGACTGTTGCAAGCCCCCCAAATTTTGTTGTTATGGGCCATCAAGTCAGAGCTGACATATACCTTAATAGGGGCTTTCAAGGTATATGAGATACAGTATTTAAGGAATGTTTTTTTTTACCAGTTCCACCCACCCCTTCAGTGAGTTTCCATGGTTGAATGGGGATTTGAACCCCGTTCTCCAGAGTCCTAGGCCATCCTTCTATCCACTACAGCACACTAGGTTTCTTGCCTTAAATATAGCCTACTGAAAATAAAAGATGAGGCGCAGGCAGCCATTCCTGCATGAAGCTGGACATCAATAGGATAAGTGCATGAAAAATGCTTGCTATCAGTTGAGAGGCAAGAACTTCACCACAAAAATTGATCTTTCATCATAATACCCGTTTTCCGCATCAACAGATATGTGTTTAGGCCATACATCACCAACGCTATTGATTTTCATCCATTTAGAAGCCTTTACACCAATGATCACAAGGTGAACAAAAGTTCTACTGAACTCTCCTGTTAGGAATGGTTGATTACATATGTTGCGACACAAAGAGGAGGGAAGGGAAAAAGTCACACAAGGTGTGAACCTCTAATTACAAAGCACTTGCTGTCGTTCATTTGTAACATTTATCTTGTGCTGTGGATCCATTCTGTGTGATATGAATATGACAGTATGTGTGTGTGAACATTGAAAGTTCCCATCCTTCCATAGAATGACCAACCTAAGCTTACTGGCACTTAGCTAAAAGTCTCCTTCTCAAAGCTTGGCGAATTAGCTAAAAGTCTCCTTCTCAAAGCTTGGTGAAGTTTGTCATCATTATCTCAGAACTGCAGAGACGGAAGGGATCAAGTCCAGCGAATATCCTGTCAAGGACGCATAGTGGGGAATCAAACTCCCAACGTCTCATCTGATCTCAAGGGATCAAGTCCAGCGAATATCCTGTCAAGGAGGCATATGTGGGGAATCAAACTCCCAACCTCTCATCTGATCTGTTGATCGTAATAAAGGAATCTGAACGCCCAACCTCTGGATCCACAGCCAGATACCTAAACTACTAAGCTATGCAGTATCTTGTGGGGCTACATCTCTCAAAACCCCAGCCAGCTGAAATTATATTTAAAAATTATGGTCCACGGGTTGTTTTGTGGTGAGTGCTCCATTGTAAGACATTAGGAGAGAACCCACCTGATCAGAGCCCTCAATTTTTCACCTCAGCCACACTTGTATGGTAGATGTAGTTCCTACCCCCGCCAGGTAGCTCATTGGTACTTACCTCATAGTTTGTTGTTGTTGTTTAATTGTTTAGTTGTGTCTAACTCTTTGTGACCCCATGAACCAGAGCATGCCAGGCCCTCCTGACTTCCACTGCCTCCCACATGTGGGTCAAATTCATGTTGGTCGCTTCAATGACACTGTCCATCCATCTCATCCTCTGTCGTCTCCTTCTCCTCTTGCCTTCACACTTTCCCAACATCGGGGTCTTTTCCAGGGAGTCCTCTCTTCTCATGAGATGGCCAAAGTATTATGAAGAAATAAGTTTATAGCCAAAAGTTTGCAGAAAGAATGACTTTGGCAGCAAGGGTCATAAAAGAATCTGGAAATGTCATACACACCAAAGACAAGAACTACCGATGATAATTGCCAAGCATGAACAAGCTTTTCTTTTTTGATTTGTGCAATATTTGGATCCAATTTATTCAGCACATCTGGATAACCTGCCCAACTGCTTTTCTGACATTACTGATGTTATTTGTGAATATCATCAAGATACTTTACACAGTATAGGGTTCAGCACATCCTACCTTGTATTGGTTCCACAACTGGCTATTTGACAACACATATAATGCAATATTATAGGAGGCAGGCATAGCAGAGTGACAGACTGAGACACGAGACACCTGGGTTCAAATCTTCACTTGACTTTGGAAATTAATGGGTGGGGAGTGTCAATGGTACAATTGTTGTTTAAATATCTCCCTTAAGTTGAAAGTGGTGTAAGTTGGTTCTACCTTAATAGCATATAACACTTAATGCAATATATTGCTGAGGCCTTCTGGCTCTGCAGGTCTAAAATTATGATTATGAAATGTCATAGCCATAATGTGGGTCCGATTCACATTAGGACTGTGCTCAGGACTCCTAATTTGTTTTGGAAACTAATACGTAGCTCCAGAATGTATCCTGATTTGCGATCAGTTTGTTCCCCCATTTGATTTAATTCATGCCACAGACCCAGTTGAATCTGTACTTCGGAGCGCTGGACAACAAAACAGCTATACCTTTTGTGTTATCGCACTGGTGTGTGTAAAATTCACCCCAAAACCAAATCTGAGCATTCCACTTCATCCTGGACCTCATACCCATCAGTCTGAATCAGGCCAATTCAGCTGGGAACTTGGAATTTTTCTGAATCCACTGTATGGCCTTAGTTCCCACATGAATGGGCAACACCAGGACATCATGCTGTTGATTCTTGACAGCTGAATCTGTGAATTGATTCTTCAGATAAACATTCCACTGAGACAAAGCGATGTGCTATGAAAGTTCTGTCTCTGTTGTTGTGTCCATAGCAGACCATTCACAATTTCTAGAAAACCATTCAGGATGATCCTTCTATTTGTTTCACATACCCAACATAAATACACATATTTAATATCCTTCCTGAGTAACCAGTGCATGTTCTTAATGAATCACCCCTTAGAAGTAATTAAGGGTGCCTAGTGATGATATTGGCCCCAATAGTACAGTCTTTAAACATCAAACATGCATGTGTGAAGTCTACAAAAATGACCTTTTGTTTTAACAGATTTCCTTCTTCGTTCTGTTGCAATGGGAGGGACGAGTCCATGGGTCTAACTAAACAGAATGCTTCCATTAAGCAGAGTATCAGCTAAGCCTTTAGGCAGAGCACGGGAAAGTCCAAAAGAGCAACATTCTTTTGACATCCGTGCAATCACATTGACTTCAGTGAGGCTACACACAAACATACACACACAAACCCAAGACATTCAGTCTGTGTTTTCGGCATTTTTCTTTATTTGATACAAAAAATGTGGAAGCCAATTTTTCTTTTAATATATCTGGGTGCTGTTGTGTTATATAGACTTGACTAAACATCAAGTTCCATGTTCTCTTTAAAGTGTTCTGGCAAACTGTAGCAGAGCTTAAATGGGATCAGGCTTTTTCCTGATGGGACACAGTAAGTTGGCAAATAGTTTAGTTCCACTCCACCATTTCAAAGGCGTCCGTCATCTCTTTCCCTCCAAGAAAAACTTTCTCATTTTATTTTTAGAAAACAATGATCAAAGTCCTTTTGAAGATGATCTTTCTCAATTTGTAGAGGGGGGAAAAAAAGAAAAGAAAACCGGCTCCAATTTTTAAAAAACACACACATAGAGCAGCAGACACTTATTAATAGGGATGCAACGAATATATAGGGAAAGAATAGTTTTGTGAAAATAAGCAAATCTCCTTCCAGACCAGAGGTAAGCAGTAGGTAATCGAGCATTTCACCTCCAGCCCATCTTCGGTGGATGTGTGAGCGCCTTCTGTTTCCTGGGATTCTTGAACAGAATCAGAGAATGGATGTAGATGTAGATGTTCTCTTGATTTTCCCAGCTTGATTTTTTTTTCTCATTCCTATTCAAAAGTGCAAAGACAAACCTCTGTTAGTTCTGCTTTCAACCCACAAGAGGGGTATTTGCGGGGGGGGGGAATTTGGGGGCCGTAGTAGGCCACATTTACCTCAGTGAGGCAGTTATGGTAAATTGGGAACAGCAGGTGCTCATCATCACTGTCCTCATTGACACCCTCCCACACACACACACACAAACACACACACACACCTTAAAGAGAGTGCAGCGAGCTGATTAGTCCATACAGTGGTGCCTCACTAGACGATGATAATCCATTCCACTGAAATCGCTGCTTAGCGAAATCATCATCTAGCGAAAAGCATTTCCCTATTGGAATGCATTGAAACCTGTTTAATGCATTCCAATGGGGAAGAGTCGTCATTGTCTAGCGAAGATCAGCCATAGGAAAGATGCTTTGTGAACTGCTGATCAGCTGTTTAAATTGCTGTCTTGCAAAGCTTAGGTCCTGAAAACACCCATTTTGCGAGCACGGAGGGAGCTGTCAAAATCGTCGTCTAGCGAAAATTGGTTTGCCAAGCAGGGACCAAATATGGTCCAGCAAAATTCCCCCATAGGAATCCCTGTTTTGCGAATCGCTATAGTGATCACAAAAAGCCAATGTCTAGCAAAAAAAACCTGTCATGTGGGGTAACCGTCTAGCGAGGCACCACTGTATTAACAAGACAAGAACAAGTCATTTGTAAAGTCAATCACTCGTAAAGGTTTATAACAAGGAAAACAAAACACGAATCATCATCACGCTTCTTTCCTCTTCCTTCAGGAGGAGCTCACAGACAGCTGCTCTGAGATGCACAAGGAAGGAGCAGGACGCACTCCTGATTTCCTGCCCCATAAAAGAGCTGCAGCTCTGGGGGGTCTTGGGGTGCCCATCAATAGATGGCTATTAGAGATGGGCACGAACTGGCATTTTGGTGGTTCGTGCTGGTTCGTCTTTTGGATGAAAAGGTGATTGGCGCTTCCATGTCCCGCCTCCTCCAGTGGGTGCCCACTCAGAGGCTGAACCCAGGGGAGGTTAGGCAGGGAGGAGGGCAGGTGGTTTCAATCCATGTAAGGAAACTTCCAAGATTCCTTGCCAATGACCAGTCTGATGTGCTTGCACCTCCTACCACCCGGTAATCAGATATACTAAAGCAAAACCAAAAGCAAGGTATGCTGTTTATATACCACCCCATGGCACTTAAAGAACTCTCTGGGTGGTTTACAGTTTAATTATTCAGGCTACACATTGCCCATCGGCAAGATGGGTATTCAATTTACCAATCTCAGAAAGATGGAAGGCTGAGTCAACCTTGAGATGACTTCCTGAGCCCATCACGAGCAGAGTGTTGACTGCAGGACTGCATTATAACCACTGTGTCACGAGGCTCCCGTTCATCTTTAAAATGGAGGGTTTCTCTTTTTTGTTAACTATTATAGCTAATAGTTGACAGACCTGTTTTCAACAGTTATCTGCTTCTATTAAAATCTGCTTCAAGTTACTTTCAAATGGCTCGCGCCTCTTCCATCCATGCCTTGAAAAATCTCTGAAGAGAAAAAAAAAATATTTGGTTTTAAATTTTTCAGATTTTGCAGACCATCTATTGCCTCATATGTAGTTTTTTTCCTCCTTTCAATTTCACTTTTCTTTTAAAGAACAACAAAAAAGGTAATTCTTACTTGTCTTACTCCCCATCGACTACAACTTCTCTGCCTCATGCTTCTCAAAAGAAATTTATCAGGCCAAAAACACCCTCCAATCTTAGCTGCTACCTTACTTTAGAACCATACTGTTGTCACTATTAAACCAACAAAGCACAATATATTACAATATAATCCATTTATAGTGGGGCATTATCATGCAAATAATTCAAGGTGCCTAAGAATAAACTTGGGGGGAAAAAGTAGAGAGTGGAATGGATAACACCAAACTATTGAAAGAACTTAGCAAGGGAACCTTGAAATTTACTCAAATCAGTAATGCAGCTTTTTTCCTCTAAAGACACGGAGATAATTGCAGACTGAAGATGAATCTTTTAGCAATGTTACGGCGATGGAATGAGCAAAGCAATATTAAATCAGACTCCTGAAAAGGGGGAAAGTGTTCTTGAAATCATCAAAAAAGATTTCAAGGGGTGCATTAATTTAAGAGTTCCACATGACAGGAGAAAGAAAGAAAGAAAGAAAGAAAGAAAGAAAGAAAGAAAGAAAGAAAGAAAGAAAGAAAGAAAGAAAGAAAGAAAGAAAGAAAACTGTAAGATTGTCTGTAAGCAGATGGAACACAAGAATATACAAGAATATACAGTATTTAAACATTGGTACATTTATATCCCACCTTTCTTTGGTCGCAGAGTTCAAGATGGTGAACTTGGGGTTCCCAACAGTCTCTCACCTAGACACTAAACTGAAAAGAACTCTTATAGTTGAATGTTAGAGAAATCTAGAGCAGTGGTACCCAACCTTGGGTTTCCAGGTGTTCCCGGACAAAACTCCCAGAAGCCATAATCACCACCTATGCCGGCCAGGATTTCTGGGAGTTGTAGTCCAAGAATATCTTGGAATCCAAGGTTGGAAACCACTGATCTTGAGAGTAAGAGTTGTGCAAAAAGTGGAAATAATTGTCTAGATGGGAGCCGGTTATTTAAAACAGAGATGGAGAACTTTTGGCCTTCTAGATATTTTGTCCTTGACCAGTACAGACAAAAGTTGGGGAATGTGGAAGATGCAGTCTAAAACATGAGGTGGTAGCAAAGATTCCATACCCCTGATTCAGATTGTTCTCCTTTGTTGGATGTCTTCAAGTAGCAGCCAAAAGAGCCATCCATTTGAGGAAGTTTTTCTGTATTCCCTGTATCAAGAAGATTGCACCAGAGTATGTTTACAAGGTGTATTCCAACTCTTTGTCTATCATTCTATAACAACAGTTTTGTGGTGTCTCAAAGACACAAATTAAGGGACATGTTTACTGCCAGCATAATGTTTTCCCCCTTCAGACATGCACCTCCTTCGAAGTAAGATGCTGGAGCATTCAGATTTGCTATTGAAGCTTCTGTTTGCCTCTCTCTGGCCAAGCATAAATCAAAACTAAGCTTATATGAAACATACAGCAAGCTCATAATAAGTTAAACAGAAGCGCTTCCCCTTTTAAGGGTCCTTTGCTTCTCATGACATGCTGGTTGTGTCATCAAGATGCATCTAGAAATCAGATGCATGAAGTGTTGGGGGGTTTACAGCACGCAGAACCACAGGTGTAGACTGCAAACTAGTGAATCAAATTACAATGAAGTGCAATGAAAGAAATCTGTGGGAAGAGAAATAAACATATGCAAAACGATCATTCATTAAGACTCAGCTGATTTTATCCCAACAAACTAACACAAGTAGCCTTCTGAAGCTTCTGGTGATACCTAAACAGGCTGAGCTTCAGCAAAACAGTTGTGTCGGATATGTCTTCAGAACACACTCTAATGAAACAGTTTGGTTAGGTACAATTTGTTATCAACTATTGTATGCTACTGTATGCTACTAATTAATTGCCCCCCAAATCGGCTTTTTAAGGTGCTTCTCAAATACTTCTACATAGTCAGACCCAACCAAGTGAGGAGGTGAGGTAGCTTGCCTGATCTCAGTGGGGAGTTCCTCAGATCAAAGAGCAAGCCATCGTTTCTTAGGGCTTTTTCACTTGCCTTCCAGAGCCGTTCTAAGTGGTCAGATTGTCCTAGGGTCAACGGTAGAGATGGGCATAAATACAAAAAAATGAACCAGAAAGTTCATCAAAAATTGCTGGTTCGTTGATTCGGGTCAGTTCGTGTTTGTCCAAACTGGACAACCTGAACTTTCCCAAACCAATGAACTTTTTCTTGATTTAACAAACCTCCTGGCCCGTTTCCCCCACACACACACACACAGCTTGCCCCCACCCCCTTCCCACAGCCCTTTTGCCTCCCTACCTTGTCCTGCCACTGCCGCTACCATCTAGAGAGACAATGGCCTGGTTTCCCTTCCGGGAGCTGGCCCTGCTATCTCTGCATCTCTGCATGCACCCACCTCTCAGCTGGACTTTCACAAACCAAGACGAACCACCGTTTGGCAGTTCAAGCCCATCTCAAGTCAACAACTGAACCCAAACTTGGCCAGCTGTATTTCTTACTAACCCAAGGATGTTGGACATTACTTAACGCTAGCGTGGTCTAACATGATGTTTGCATTGTGGCATTATTTAGAAGAGTTTGTGTATGGAGGAGGTTTCGATTTGATACTAATGCTTTTTCCCCTCTCCCCATCCCTTCTCTGACCACTTTTTTTGAGTGGACTCTTCTGCCATGAGATTTCACCCAGTAAGAGCAATTTTTTTCCCCAGAAGATCATTCTGTCCATCAGATATCTGAAACAGCAAGGGTGCTGATGGCAGGAGGTGTTTCTCGGCTAAAAATATGTTGGATTCTGATTCTCTAACACCTGAAGCTAGAATTCCATTTATCCTTTGTTGCACAAAAGCCTTCCTTCTGAGGCAGCTATTCTTGTGTTTTTTCCTCTTCTGGAACAAAGTCCATAAATGTCATAAATGAGCAAGAAAAACTAATTTTACAAGCTAGATCAGTTTGTCTGTCTTCTCCCTTTCTCCAGTCTGAATCCGGTCTGTCTTGCTGCCCTTTCTAGTTTGGAGAGAATGTTTTTATGGCAGAGTTGTAAAAATCCGGAAAACAGGAGGGTTTATGGTACAACCACTAGCAGACCTTTAACTGTAGCAGTATTCATGGTTACCACTACAAGGAAGGTATTATGTTGGGAAGGAATAAAGCTAAACCTGTCCTTGGGGCATTCTGAAATGTTAACGGCTCGTGCATGCACTTAGATTTCTGAAACACAGGTGCATGCACGGTCAAAAACAGTACTTAGAACAAAGATTCCACCAGTTGTTGTTATGTATACAGTACGTACAGGTCTTTGGTGCTGGGAACATTGCTATACTTGGGAACAACCGAATTTGATTAAAAGCTGTCAGATTTATCTGTTATGGGGGAGAGAAGAAATATGTGCTTTCCCTAGAAAGGAAATCAATGTGTCTTTTTGATAGATGCAGACTGGAAACCTAGGATGGTGTCACTTTAAATGTCCAAAGAAGAGAGACTGCCAGATGGTGACATTAGCCACTAGCATAACTGTAGTGGGGTGATGCTGATCTTTATATTGTATAATCCTTGTTTATGGAATTGTTTGCCAACTAGGCCAAAGAACGGAGATGTTACACCAAGGGGCGAGGATGTTGTTTGAATTTGGCCTTGTTCAGCATTCGCCCAAAGTTGCAAATTTTGTCACATTTGGGATGAGAAGCACTTGAAATTTGAATAAGTCAGATGGGACTCAAGATCTTGAATGCTCTCTTTTTCAAAGCCCTCAGTTTGAATGTCTACATAGTTGCTGAATTAAGGTTGCCCCTATTCTGTGTGAGACAGCTTCTCCTTTTTAGCATCTCATGTGGCTGACATGCAAGTACAACATAGCCTTCTTCATGATGGAAACAGTAGTCCTGATTGAATGCATGAACCATCACACTGGTGGTTCATGCCCATTTGTAATCAACATAGTAATGAAGGTAATGAATCAACATAGAATGAAGGCCACCCAGCCTTCATTCAGAGATGAACTAACTACTGTGTTAAATGTTTAACGTGCAGTTGAGCTGTGCTTTCTTTCTTTCTTTTTACTTCCAGATACAGTACTTTGATTTTAGACAATTGCATATCAGTCACAGAGGGACATGGTGGCACTGTGGGTTAAACCATAGAAGCCTCTGTGTTGCAAGGTCGGAAGACCAGCCCTCATAAGATCAAATCCATGCGATGGAGTGAGCCCCTGTCGCTTGTCCCAGCTCCTGCCAACCTAGCAGTCCGAAAGCATGTAAATGTGAGTAGATAAATAGGTACCACCTCGGTGGGAAGGTAACAGTGTTCCGTGTCTAGTCGTGCTGGCCACGTGACCACAGAAACTGTCTATGGACAAACGCTGGCTCTATGGTTTGGAGATGGAGATGAGCACCGCCGCCTAGAGTCGGACATAACTGGACAAAATTGTCAAGGGGAACCTTTGCCTTTACCATGGAGGTTTAACTTTCTACCCAATCATCCTTTCTGCATGCCTAGAGGGTGAAAAAAGGGTGAGCCAGTCTCTTCCCCCATTAACATCGGAACTAGAACATAGTACGAAATGCCACTCCTCAGCTTCCCCATTTTTCAGAATGTAAAAGGAACCGATTGAATCACCTACTTCTGCTAGCGGTACAAGGTGGAATTATCAACTGTCCCTTTAAGGACTCACAGGTACAAATCAAACACAGATGGTCCAAAGTGTTTATGATTTTCCTGCCAATTGCCCTGGCTGGCACAAGTCTTAATTACTGAAATATTTTTACAATATACAACTTTTCTTGTTATTTTACCTATGCTCTACTGCAGATTATTTTGGCTTGCTGATTAGAAGAAGGCTCAGGTCACTTATTTATGTGGATTAATCTTTCCAGCATCATAAAAGCCAAAACTACAGTATATGTTTCTATAATGAAATTGGGCTTTTAAATATATATATATCCCAAACCCTTTCTGGCCCTGAACAGCAACATTATTTTAACATTTCTTGCAATACATAAATGATGCCAAAACCTATTACAGTGGCAGTAAATTTTGATTACTGGTGTTGTTTGTTATTTTATGTCTCGGAGATAAAAATAATATTGAGAAAGCCCTCCCTTTCTTTTATCATGTATAAATTACTTCCATAAAATATTTTGCAAGCACAACAGGTACAGATGGGGGGGGAGGGCAGAAGAATGATTTTATTGAGGGACCGACTCAACTCTCCACTAAGAACCTAAACATAGAACTGTCTACTCAGGAGTAAATAAATCTTCCTGTGTTCAGTGGTGTTGACCTCAAAGGTACACATTGCCCTACAGATTCTTGGGATGGTCATTTTTATTACCTCTAACCATTGGCTGTGCTGCTCCTCCTATAGTCAGTTCCCTGGGAATAATGATTCCTTGAACTCAGTGTGATTTAACTGCTCAATAAGCATAAACAGGATTGTACCATAAAGCTACATACTTATGAACATTTACATGAGCAAACTCCTTGATATGCAGAGTGGTATTTTCTTTAGAGTAATCCTGCATAAGATTGCACTGGAAGGCTACAATCCTATGCAGGCATAGCATGAGTAAGCCATATGCAATGCCATAGGTCAGTGGTTCCCAACCTTGGGTAACCCAGAGGTTCTTGGACTGCATTTCCCAGAAGCCTTAATCACCAACTGTGCTGGCCAGGGTTTCTGGGAACTGCAGTCCAAGAACCTCTGGGTTACCCAAGGTTGGGAACCACTGCTGTAGGTCGTTGTAAGTAGGGAGTGAACTTCTCTGTTTGTGCTTTCCCCTTCTTGAACACAATCGTTGCATAATGATTTCATTACATGTATGTAATAATGTGCATTTCAAAAAAATCTTCATAAAATATACAAATACAGAGGTGCCTCACAAGACTATTTTAATTAGTTCCGCGAAAATCGCCGTCTTCGCTGCCCATTCATTTCCACATTGATTTCAAAGTGTTAATAATGACATATAAAGCCCTAAACGGTTTAGGACCTTGATATCTAGTGGAACGCCTCCTCTCACCTAGATATACCTGAACCACTCGTTCTAGCCAGGAAGGGCGGCTGAGGGGCCTAACGCCAAGGGAGGCCCGGAAAGAAATAACAAGAAACTGGGCCTTCTTGGCAGTGGCCCCTCACCTTTGGAACAGTCTGCCCCCAGAGATCTGTCTGGCGCCCTCGCTGGGTGTTTTTAAGAGCCAACTT